CTCTTGAAAATATAATAGGACAACATATTATGGGCCTCTCTCCCACTTTGTTATTCTTGATGTTTTATCAGACTGTTTATGGAGAAATATATTATATAAAAGATTTCTTTTTCCCTAAACGGCTATGTAGTTATTGGCTTCAGTGGATTAAAAATGTATACATATAGATATAGATATAGATATAGATATAGATATAGATATAGATATAGATATAGATATAGATATAGATATAGATATAGATATAGATATCTATCTATCTCTATAAATATATACATATATATAGACAGATCAAATCAAGGAATGTTTTTATTGTGAAAAGCTAATCTAAAAGCACTAATAGTCACTTTTCTATAGCCCCAAGTAAGATGGAAGATTGGTAATTACCCAGTAACTGGGGTTGTATCATGTCAATTTCAATGAGTAGAAAAAAATACTCCCACTTCCCTACTCGAATAATCTCCTCAGCTCATTTTTGCCATCAAACAGCCAAGTCTCTATTTCCTTTGGTTGCCTTGGGTGAACACTCAAAAATCAATTAGATGAAAATAATTTGAATCTCCCAGAATTGAACCCATGTGTGCTGGCATCCTGTAGTGACAAAGGAAAAATATTTCCTTTCCATAATGGAAATATCTCCAGGAAACATCATCAAGATCAGCATAAAAAATATTAAGGATTCACCAAGGCATTATGTTATGCTAGGTACTATACCAATACATTTTAAAATATAAAATAAAATAAACAGACATAATGCCTGAGATTAAGAGATTATATTTAGAACAAGGCTTAAATCCTATCACCTTTCTGCTCAAAAATCATGATAGTAAAAATAGTACAATAGAGATCTCATGTTCATATGATAATACTTATAAAAGATGCTTAGTACAGTGCATGACAAATAGCAGGCTTTATATAAATGCTTATGCCCTATCTTTCCCATAGTCACTTCCTATCTCTTCATTCATCATACTCTTTAATACCCTCCACATACTCTATGATCCAGGCACACTGGTCTTTCTCTTATACTTGGCACATGGCACTCCACTTTTTTTACTCTGTGCCATCATAATAACTTAAAATCATATTTGAAATGTTCTCCCTCCTTTCTTCAGCCTCTCTGAGCTTCTGGATTATTACATTATCAGCTCAAATTCAACCTCCTACTAAAGGCCTTTTACAAGTTCCACAGCTGATAATGATTTCCCTTCTAAGATAAATGCCTATACACTTACATGAATCTAGTAGGTACTTGTTTGTTTGCATGACATGTCCACCATTAGAATATAAGCCCCTTGAGGGTTTGACCTGTTGTTTGCTTTTTTTTTTTTGATCTTTGGAACTTACCACAGCTCATGACACATGGTAAGTTCTTAATATTTTTTGACTTACTGAATCCACCTTTATTTCCACTCCTATCCCCCCCCAAAAAAACATATACACTTTGATTCTAGAAAGTAAATTGGCCTCAAAAAACTAGCTGTTTCTAATAGATCATGTTTCATAGATTGAGAATGTACCCCAATATTTATTAACAGGACATATTCCCCTTGAGTGAAAGCTTAATTTTTCCTTGGAAAATCTAAGGGAAAAACACACTCACTAGTCTTCTGACGTTATTGAGTTTAGAAATCAAAAGACAGGATATTTCCTCTAGTTCCCAAGATGCATGAATTCTCAAGAAGCAAGGAAATTCCATGTGGTCACCGGGAGGAAGCCAGGTCTTAGACCTTAAATATAGAAGGAATAAAAAAGTGAGACAGATAACTGTGTAAGCTGAAAATAAAGTTTGTTAATTATGGAGCAGGTATTTCAGAGAGCACAGGGAAAGAATGGACATATATGCAGTGAACATTGCAGTGGTAAGGTGAAAGTGGATAGAAATATGCAGGTGGTGAAAGAGAAGGGGTTGTATACATCAATAACTAAAAGTTCAGAATCACTGGGATGGGAAAGTAGAAAGATGGAGAAAGGGAAGGGAAGAGAAAAAAGTCCTTTTATAGTACATACTATATGTCATGTAATGGGATTAGCACACTTATCTTAATTCAATAAATATTTATTAAGTGATTATTATGTGCCAGGTCCTGTGCTAAGCACTGGGGATCCAAAAAGAGGTAAAAGACACTCCCTTACTCCAAAGAGCTTACAACCTCATGGGAGGGACAACATGCCAACTAATATATACAAAGCAAGCTATATATATGGGATAGATAAGTAATAATTAATGGAATCAAGCCACTGGAATTAAGACCAATTGGAGAAGGCTGTAAGAGATGGAATTTTGGTTGGGATTTAAAGGAAGTCAAGGAGGTCAGTAGTGAAAATGAAGGAAGGATGGTATCCCAGTAATGGGATATAGCAGAAAAAAATCCCTGAAGTCAAAATACATAACATATTGTTTGTGGGACAGCTAGAAGGCCAGTGTTATTGGTTTGAAAACTATGTCTTGGGGAGTTAGTTGTAAGAAGGCTATAAAGAGAGGGGGGCTAGTTTATAAAGGGTTTTTTTTTGGAACTTTTAAAAATGTTGTCTCATTTGATTCTTACAATAACTTAGGAAGTAGGTGGTATTATTATTCCCATTTAACAGGTAAGGAAACTGAGGCAAACAGAGGTGAAGTGATTTACCCAGAGTCAACCAACTGGTGACCAAATAACTGTATTTAAAGTCAGGTCAGCCTTCCACACTATCCAATGAGCCATGTAACTGTCTCTCTGGTGGAAGTATGTTAGCCACTGAGGAAAGAATACAGACAGACTACCAGTTGTGGAAGAGAGGTTCACTGACGGAAGTTCATGATTAGTTTGCCAAATTCACTTATCTTACAACTGCTAAAAATGAGACCCAGAGAGAACAAGTGATTTGTCGAAGCTCAAACAGATAGTTAGTGGCAGAACCAGTATTACAACCTAAGTATTCTGACTTTAATTCAATATCGTTTCCATTGTACTGTTTGCTTCTCAAAGATGAAGGGGAAAACATTGCAGAGCCAACACAGGTCAAAGGTTTGAGAGTCTTTAGTTCATGGCTGGGCAGAGTCTCATACCCTATCCTGCTGTCCCAAACAGTTGCAGAAAGTTTTCTGTTGTAGTATTGTTTTGCTCAAATTGATTTGAACATTATTTCATTGAAAAAGCAGATAGATATATTTGGAAGTTATACTAGAAAATGCCCAATGGTTTTGAACATTACATTGCAGTGATGCCTTACCCCTTTAGGTCATGACACAGAGTAAAGTGAAAAGAATTAAGAAATAATTTATATAATGCCAATATTATAGAGTGACAAACAAATTTGAAAGACTTTAAAAGTGCTAAATGTGCTTATAAACAATGGATCCCAGAGGACTTTACATGAAATATACCACCAATTTCCTTGCAGTATGTATCTAAAGGGCAGAATGAGAATTTTTGGACATAGCCAATATGGGAATTTGTTTTGATGGACTTTGTGTATTTATTATGAGTGGTTTTTTTTATTGTTCAATTCAATGGTTATTGGAAAAGAAGGATATTTTTCTATAAAATAAATAATTAAATCTTTAAAAATAAAGAAGAAAGGATTAAGATGCAGGAGAGAATGTTCCACCCATGAGGAATAGCATTGCCAAATACAGAAAGACAGTAAAAACTAGGGTGAAATTATTGGTCAGTATAGTCTAGTTAACTAGAATTTGTAGCAAAGTTCACCTCTGATGCTTACTCATTGTCTTTCTATAGAGGCCTTCCTAGTTTCCTTTGAGAATGTCCTTTTTAGAGGCAGAGAAAAAACAGGGACTTGCCTGAGCTCTCCCTCAAACCCATCCAAATATTTAAACAATGACTCTAAACAAATTTTAGAGTGGCAGAACCCACCCAAAGATGGAGTGAAATTTTCCAGTCCAAGACAACTTAGAAGGTTGGCAGGAAAGGTTTGTTGCACCAGTGTGAGAGAGGAGCACAGTCTATCTCGGGTCATATTAGCACAGACTTGTCAGGAAAAGGCCTCTGGGTGACTGAAACAGTGGCAGCAATGGCAATTTCCAGACCTCTCAGCCCACATATGCCGAAGACAACTTAGAAAGTAGGCATACCTGTGTGAGAGTGGAACACAGTCCAGTGCAGGCCTCAACAGCATAGACCTGGCCCCGGGAAACTAGGAGCAGTCCTTGGGAGCCACTGAATCTTCATCATCAGCAGTTGCTTCCTGAGCTTTCAACCTACAGACTGTTAGGGGGCCAGAAGGAGACTATAGGGGTCTCATCGTTGCCTCTGGGGGCAGGACTTTATTGCTTTGCCCACACTCAGATCTGGGTCACAGTATTGAAAGGCAAGGAGGAGCAGGGACCCTTGTCATAGTCCCAGGGCCTAAAAGAGTGTTTTTGGTCCCTCACATATCAGAAGGTAGGCCAGGAGAATAGAAAATACCTCCCATTATGTCATATCACCTTGGAAGAACTGAAAATTTAAAGGTCTCTAGAAGGATCTCTGAAAACACTTGCAAAAAACCACTGAAGCTTGGGACAGTGCACCCTCCATCCTGGAAGCAGAACCCTAATTTAACAAAGAGTTAAAAATCAAATAATAGGCTATGAAAATGAGCAAACAAAAAAAAAATCTGACCATAGAAGGTTGCTATGATGACAAGGAAGATCAAGACACACACTCAGAAGAAGATAACAATATTAAAGCTCCTATATCCAAAGCCTCCAAGAAAAATATAAATTGGTCTTAGGCCATGTAAGAGCTCAAAAAGGATTTTGAAAATCAAATAAGAGAAGCTGAGGAAAAATTGGGAAGAGAAATGAGAGTGATGCAAGAAAATAATGAAAAAAGGACTCAACAGCTTGCTAAAGGAGACACAAAAGATACTGAGGAAAATAAAACCTTAACAAGCAGAATTGGCCAAATGGAAAAAAGATATACACAAATTCACTGGGAAAAAAAAACTCCTTAAAAAGTAAAATTGGCCAAATGGAAAAGGAGGTACAAAATCTCACTTAAGAAAATAATTCCTTGTACTCACTTCAGCAGCAGATTTACTAAAATTGGAATGATACAGAGAAGATTAGCATGGCCCCATGCAAGGATGACATGCAAATTTGTGAAGCATTCCATATTTTTAAGTCAAATTTATAAGACTACAAGTTGTTCTCTAATTGATAAATGGTCAAAGGATATGAACAGGCAGTTCTCAGATGAAGAAATTAAAGTCACATCTAATCATATGAAAAGATGCTCTAAATCACTATTGATTAGAGAAATGCAAATCAAAACAACTCTGAAGTAACACATCGCATACCAGATTGGCCATCATGGCAAAACAGGAAAATGATAAATGTTGGAGAAGAGGTGGGAAAACTGGAACACTAATGTGTTGTGGGTGGAGTTGTGAAATGATCTAACCATTTTGGAGCGCAATTTGGAACTATGCCCAAAGGGTTATAAAAATTTGCATACCATTTGACCCAGCAACGGTGCTTCTAGGGTTGTATTCCAAAGAGATCATACAAATGGGAAAAGAACCCACATGTACAAAAATATTTATAGCAGCTCTTTTTGTGGTAGCAAAGAATTGAAAGTTGGGAGGATGCCCATCAATTGAGGAATGGTTGAACAAGTTGTGGTATATCAATGTAATGGAATACTATTGTGCTATAAGAAATGATGAGCGAATGGACTTCAGAAAAACCTGAAAAGACTTGTATGAACTGATGCTGAATGAAGTGAGCAGAACCAAGAAAATGTTGTTCACAGTAACAGCCACGTTGTGCGATGACTACTATTGACAGACTTAACCCTTCTCAGCAATGCAAGGATCTAAGACATCTCCAAAGACGTCATGATGGAAAATACTATCCACATCCAAAGAAAAAACTATGGAGTTTGAATGCAGATTGAAGCATACTATTTGCTATTTTCCCTTTTGTTGTGTTTTGTTTCCTCTTTCTGTTGGTTCCTCCTATTGGTTCTAATTCTTACTTACAACATGACTAATATGAAAATATTTTTAATAGGAATGTATATGTATAGCTTATATCAGATTGCATTCTGTCTTGGGGAGGGAGAAGGGGAAGGAGGAGGAGAAAATTTTTAAATTCACAAGCATATGAAAGTGATTGTTGATAAATCAAAATTAATTAATAAAGTTGAAAAAAGAAAATATTTCCTTAAAAATTAGAATTGAGCAAAAGAAAGCCAATGACTTTATGATAAATCAATAAACAATAAAACAAAAGCAAAAGAATGAAAAAAAGAAGATAACATGAAATATCTCATTGGAAAAACAACTGACCTGGAAAATAGATCCAGGAGAGATAATTTAAAAGTTATTGGACTACTTTAAATCCATGATAAAAAAAAGTCTAGCCACCATCTTTAAAGAAATTATTAAGGAAAACTGCCCTAATGTTCTAAAACCAGAGGGTAAAATAGAAATTAAAAGAATCCACCAATCTTGCCCTAAAAGAGATAACAAAATGAAAACTCCTAGGAATATTACATCCAAATTGCACATCAACCAGTTCAAAGACCAACTGTTTCTAGCAGCCAGAAAGAAATAATTCAAGTATTGTGGTGTTACAGTCAGGATAACATGAGATTTAGCAACTTCTACATAAAGAATCAGAGAGCTTGGAATATGATATTCTGGAAGGCAAGGGAGCTAGGATTACAACCCAGAATTTCCTACCCAGCAAAACTAAATATAAGCCTCCTGAGGGAAAAATGGACATTACATGAAATAGAGGACTTTCAAGCATTCTTTTTAAATTAATTTTAAACTTAAATACATAATAAGAAAAGAAAAAGAAACATTATAAACTTAAATACAAAATAAGAAAAGAAACAAAGTATTGCCATGTACACAGCAGAATGTAAGAGAGGATTCAAAATATATAGCAATCAGTTTCCATTTCAAGAAAGCCTATATAATAAATACTACACATTTTGTTCAAAGCTGTCCATCTTTACTTTGCTTCCTTGTACAGTTTCCTTTTTTTTCTCTGCTATGTTCTTTTTCTTTGTTCTTTTCCCCCCTTTTTCCTCCCTCCACCAAGAAGGCTACAATTAAGTTCAATTATATAATAACTGAAAAAAATGAAGCAAGTTTCTTTGAAAAAGGCCTCATTTCTCAAACATATAGAGAAATGAGTCAAATATATAAAAGAACCATTCCCCAATTGATAAATTATCAAAAGATATGAACAGTTTTTAAGATGAAATAATCAAAGTTCTCTATAGCCATATGAAAAAAAAAATGCTCTAACTCACTACTGATTGGAGAAATGCAAATTAAAAAATTATGAGATACTACTTTTTACCTATTAGATTGGCTAAGAGAATAGAAAAGGAAAATGACAAATGGTGCAAGAGATGTAGGAAAAGGGAAACATTAATGAACTGTTGGTGGAGCTGTGAACTGATTGAACAGTTCTGTAGAGCAATTTAGAAATATGTCCAAAGGGCTATAAAACCATGCATACCCTTTGAACTAACAATATAACTATTAGGTCTGTATCTCAAAGGAGACAAAAAGGAAAAAGCACCTATATGTAGAAAAATGTCTATAGCCACTCTTTTCTGGTGGCAAAGAATTAGAAAATAAAAACACTATTTTTTTAAAAGAGAATGTCATTTTCCATATTTCTTATATAAAAGTACTGTTCCATCACATTCATATATTACAATTTGTTAGCCATTCCCCACCATTTGAATACCTGCTTATTTTTTGTTTTTTCTTAATATTAAAAGAACCACAATAATTTTTGAACGTATAAATCTTTTCTCTTTTATTTTTTGTTTTTGTCTTTTAGGGCATTGGTCTAGGAGATACACACAAAGTAAAGGTAAAAATCTGGAGCAGAATATATTATGTATCAGCTGAAGTAAGAAAAAAAAAAGTAGGTATAGCAATCCTGATATCAGACAAAGTAAAAGCAAAAATATATCTAATTAAAAAGATAAGGAAGGAAACTATGTCCTGTTAAAATGTACCATAGATAATGAAATAATATCAATACCAAATATATACACATCCAAATTCTTAGAGGAGAAACTAAGTGAGTTATAGGAAGAAACAGACAGCAAAACTATGCTAATGGGGGACACCAACCTCCCCCTCACAGAACTAAATAAATATGACCGTGAAATGAACAAGAAAGAAGCTAAGGAGGTGACTAGAATCTTAGAAACATTAGAAATGTTAGAAAATTGAAAGGGCATAAGTAGAAAGAAGTATACCTCTTTTTTTCTTGGCAGTACATGACACCTACAAAAATATTAACCATGTACTAGGGCATAAAACTCTCACAATCAAATACAGAAAGTCAGAAATATTAAATACATCCTTTTCACATCATGATGCAATAAAATTTACATATAATAAAGGGCCATGGAAAGATAGAGTAAAAATTAATCAGAAACTAAATAATCTAATGCTAAGGAATGAGTGGGTCAAACAACAAATCATAGAAACAATCAACAACTTCATCCAAGAGAGTGACAGTAATGAGACAACATACCAAAACTTATGGGATACAGCCAAATCAGTTCTTGGGGGAAACTTTATATCTCTTAATACTTACATGAATAAAATAGAAAAAGAGGAATTCAATGAATTGGGTATGCAACTAAAAATAACTAGAAAAGGAACAAATTAAATATCCCCAATTAAACACCAAATTAGAAATCCTGAAAATCAAAGGAGAGATTAATAAAATTAAAATTAAGAAAATTACTGAACTAATAAATAAAACTAAGAGCTGGTTTAATAAAAAACCAATAAAATAGATAAACTTTTGTTTAATTTGACCTAAAAAAAAGAAAGAAGGTAACCAAATTACCAGCATAAAAAATGAAAAGGGTAAATTTACCACCAATGAAGAGGAAATTAAAATAATAGGTATTATTTTCACCCAACTAATATGTATGTATGTGTATATATATATACACACACACACACACACACACACACACATATATATTGTGTTGTGTGTATGTGTGTGTGTGTAATGCAGATTAATGGAAAAGGAAATAAAATACTTTTCAGAAAAAGAAAATGTGCCATTAAATAACTCCCTAAGGAAAAAAAAAACATCTTCAGGGCCAGATGAATTTAAAAATAAATTCTACCAAACATTTCAAGAACAATTAACTCCAATACTATATAAGTTATTTGGGAAAATAAGTGAAGGACTCCTGCCAGGTTCTTTTGATGATATAAATATCGTGCCAATACCTAAATTGGTCAGAGTCAAAACAGAGAAAAAATTATAGACTACTTTCCCTAATAAATATAGGTTTGGAAAATTTAAATAAAAAATTAGCAAAGATTTCAGAAACTTATCACGAGGATAATACACTATGACTAGGTCAGCTTTATATCAGGTATGCAGGTCTGGTTCAATATTAGGAAAACGATCAGAATAATTGACCATATGTATAACAAAATTAAAAGAAATAATATGATTATATCAATATATGCAGAAAAAGCTTTTGACAAAATACAATACCTATTTCTATTGAAAAAAAAACACTAGAGAGTATAGGAATAAATGGAGCTTTCCTTAAAATGATAAGTAGCATTTATATAAAACATTAGCAAGCATTATATGTAATGGGGATAAGCTAGAAGCATTTCCCATAAGAGCAAGGGGAAGCAAGAGTGTCCAATGTCACCACCGTTACTCAATATTGTACTAAAATTGCTAACTTTAGCAATAAGAGAAGAAAAGGAAATTGAAGTAATTAGAATGGTCAATGAAGAAACAAAGAAATCATTCTTTGCAGATGATATGTTAGGCCTAGAAAATCAACAACAGCAACAGTAACAACAAAACCTACTTGAAATAATTAACAACTTCAGCAAAGTTGCAGGATATAAAATAAAGCCACATACATAATTGGCATTTCTATATATTATTAACAAAGCCTAACAGCAAGAGATAGAGAAATTCTATTGAAATTATTGTAGACAATATAAAATATTTGGGAGTCTACCTGCCAAGACAAACCAAGAAACTGTATGAATATAATTACAAAACACTTTTCACACAAAGTTAATCTAAATAATTGAAAAAAATATTAGTTGCTCATGGGTAGGCTAGGCTAATATAAAAAAAGGA